TAAAAGATATTTTTTAACCTGCTGAAAAAAACTCTCTCCTATACCAGCTTAAGTCAAGTTATATTTTCCATTGTATTTATTATTCCCAAGCAGATTCAATTTTTATTGCCCCCCAAAACAGTACACCGAGGCTTAAAAATATGTGATTTCCCTGGGTGCTAAAAGCATCACCAATAATTTTGATTAATGTGTCTTGACACTGAATGCATTAGCCATACAATATTCTTCTTGCTTAAAGGCTAATTAGAATTCAAGTCAGCATGATACCTGCTTTTGAGGATTACAGCAAGAACATTTGTTGTAATAAGAACCTCCAGGCAGCCAGTTTTGGTAATGATTGATTTGTAAAATTATTGAGGGGAAAAAAAAAAAAAGAATGAGAAAGTGAGTCTGTCCCAAAAAAACACTTATTTCCCTTACGGATCAAATTAGAGTATAAATTAAAACATCTTGGTGGCTATGATGAAAATGAACTACCATAGCAGGTTTATTTAAAACCCAGAAAACATACCTTTCTGATTTTTTTTTTCCTTACAGAATTACATCGTGAAAGCACATTTGGTGTATTTATTGGAGGTTTCATTCTGGCTGCTAAAATTCTCTGAGTTCTGGTTGTATGGGTTTCCTAATTGGACTCAAATTATTCAACTGATCAGACTCGCTTTATGCAAGCAGGAAATAATTATAAGTAACAATAACACAACTTTATTCTTTTAACCAGCATTTCTTCCTCTTCTTTTTTCTTTCAGGAATTTATTTTATACTCTAGGCTATTTCCAAAAACTGCTATTTTTAAAATATGATTTGATATTTCTGAGGAAGAAACCTCATTTCCAGCAGATTTAGGAGATAAGTTTCCGTTAGATTACTGAACACTATGTTTAATCCTAAGGATGCCAAAGTAAATGTTCCTGCCACCTGTAAAAGTTAGACTTTATAGGATTTAGTGTCAAGGATGATTTCATAGAATGAGGTATAAAGAGTTAGTTACTGTCTCATACCTTCTCAATCCTGAAGTTGTTGGTCCAAATGTTAAATTTTCACTAATGGGGAAGCCAGAGCAAAAATATAAACCTTTGAGGGGAAATACTATAAAAGTTTCTTTGCTGCTTAAATGATTTTTTTTTCTGATTTGATGTAATTTTTACCGTATTATGTCTCCCTACTGTATTCATTTTACTGTATAATTTTTTTTTTCCAATTTACTTTCTGAATATAAGATAAATTCGAGGTCTATGTTGAAAGGCGAAAAGCAAGGACCGAAAATCAATACTTGTAAAAAATGTCTTAGGCTAAGCAATGCTATGACTGGGGCCTACAGAATTTCCTCAGTGAACGTCAAGTTTTTCTTTTGCTTTTCGTGTGAACAGCGTCTGGGAAGGAGAACTTAGACAGTACCATGTCTTATGCGCAGAACATTGTGTTCCTTTGTTCCTGGAATACGTTTGGGTTATAGGAAAAGGGGACGATTATGGTGTCATGGTTCAAGAGAAAGTAGGGTATATTACTGCTCTTCCAGGTAGTATTCACCTGGCACTGAAAAGGAGTTTGCAGAATTTACAACTATTAACCTGTAGAGTATAAACGGCTTTGTGTTAAGATAAAATTACTAACATGAGGAAAGACTATATAAAACGGGTATGTAACCAATATTTCCAATATTCTGAGCTGCTCCAAGAGGAAGAAGCAATAATAGCTAAAATTTATACAAGCATTGACTACATGCTTGGCAATATTTTAGGAGCTACGCACATATTAATTCATTTAATCCTCAAAACAACTCTCTGAGTTATGTACAACGATGATTCCCATTTTATAAGAAAACTAGAGCAGAGAGAGGTTACGTAACCTGCCTAACGTCATGATATAGAATCATGAAATAGCTGAGGCGTAGGACCAGGATCTACACAATGGTGATTTGGTCCTACGGTCAGGGCTGTGGACCACTGCTCCCTACTCCTTAATTGCTAGAGTCATATAATCACGAAAGAGCTAAGTAATGTAAATTTTTCAAAGTGGTGAAAAAATTTTTTAAAAAAATAGGAGTTTTGAATTTTACCCTTTTCTGTGATATCAGAAAAGCTAGTTACAGTGTTTTGCCCATGAAAAATATATTTGAATACTTGTTTATAAAAATAATTTTCTAAGCTTGAATCTTATTCCAAGGATCAATGTCTGCATGGTACATTGTGCATAATTTAATTTTCTCAGTTGAACATCTTGACACTATATGAACCATGAATGCATGAAATAGGAATTCCAAATGTCTTCCACATGGTGAGAGGACGTTCCAATACTTGTGCAGGAAGTTTAAGAGTAATTTGAAATTAAGTTATGCCTGTTCTTAGTGACTTTTATTACGTATGCCTAAGGTATTAGCGCTTTTCTCTGAGTGGGACCTTGAGGTGATAGATAGATGAGTCTGCTGTCTGTATTTAGGCACTTTGCTCATTTCCTGAGAGCTGTGTGGAAGGCATTTGGATGCTCATTAAGTTTCCAACCATTCCCCGAGAGCAACAGGTGGCAAATCAAAGCTTCCCTGGTATGTCATGGCTGGTTTCCTCAATGTCTTGGAAATAACGGATGGCATTTGCAAGCTCTCTGTAGCACCAGCAGATAAGAAGGAGATGAATAGCAACAGGAAGTATTTCCAAAGCATAAACAAACACACAAGTTCAGGGAGGTTATGACTAATGTTCTTGCTACCACACTTTCTAAACCCATACATAGTGGTTTCATCTTTTAAATATTATTACTCTTTCAAACTATGAAATCAGAGTTAACTCTTCTGTGGTTAGCAACCTAATAGAACGACATATATTACAGAAAACCCGAAGTAAATGACACTATGACATAAAATTATAAACTTTTAAGTCTACATTGTTCTTAAATTGTCTCCTTTACAAAATTACTTATTTATACTGAGCACCTACTACATTATAAGGAAAGCATATCACTCACATTCTGAACTACAGCAAGAAGACAAAGGTTATTCATCCAAAATTAGAATCAATGATTTAAATCAAATACTAGATAGTTACACAACGGTACTTGGTAATTACACAAGAAAGTATCTCTAGTGAATGATAAAAAGGTTTTTGTCAACTGATAGCTTCTTGTCACTATAATCACTAGCTGATGTTAGAAAAATAAAGAAAAATATCAGCTGTATGATCTCGACAACATTTGTCTTGCAACTGCCTATGACCCGAGGAACAAAAACAATTACTGGAGGTGGCAAATCACCAACATCTTTCCCAATTTGAAAAGTTCAAAACATCCAGATTAGTCCATAGATGATTAGAGAAATGACCTGGAATACTTTTCATGGTGGAGGACATAAAATAACTAAAAAGTAATGATAACAAACAGTAGTAATTGGAATTGTTTTTTGTTTGTTTTAGAAGGGGAAAAATAACAATGACTTCACCTTGTTGACCTGTTGTCAATAAGAAAGTGCCTCATGCTCTGAAGGGACAACTATTTCAACACAGCACTGAGGTTCCCACCATGTGACTTGGTGCTGGCAGCACAATCCTGCTAACCTATAAGGCAAGTGCTGCCGGCAACCCCCCTGAGTCTTTCCAAAATGCCCATACTTTAAAATGTCTTCCCCTTATTTATAACTCTACTAGGTTCTTTATAATTAATGGTGAATACGACTTGTTTTAAAAATCTATGATTTTCCAATTATTTTTGAAAAACCTCCCTTTTTTAAATGTGTGGGAATTGCTAAGGAACTCCCATAAATTTATTCTACAATATGAAATCACATATTAATTTTTAAGTTATTTTTGCTAAACATCAAATAATAAGGAAATAACTTTGGCTCTTTCGAAATCTATTGCCATAGAGTATATTTCGTCACTGAGGAAGCCAAAGACCAAAAATATATTAAAAACACATATCTGAACTTTTATAACACTAATCTGGAACCATCAAACAAGTAGAACCAAAATTTCTGAGTGCCAACCTGGAAGACATGGCTTTCATATCTGTTAATTAAACCAAACATACTCATAAAATATTATATATGATACCAGATGGTATCTGGAAACTCAATAATTTAACACATTTACTCCAAAATCACATAATTTCATGTAACACTTCAAATACAACCTTCATGAAACAGTGTATACAACCTTCACACTGAAACTAGAAATATTAATTTTGGAATGGTCTAATGATTAGTAGAAATTAATTCAAAACTCTGTAAGCTGAGAACAATGTAAGGAAAAGTCTACTTGTATGATGTTACCCTATCAAACAATTCTAGAATCTAAGAAAGAACTTTAAAATAAGAAGGTGATTTTAAAAGAGTAACCACATCTAAGGTACAATTTTTAAGCCTTTTTACTTGCCATGTGAAAAATTTTAAACATTTAAAAAATATTTCTTAATATCTGTAGATGTTTTAAAAACATGTAAAGCAATGTTTCAAACTAAGCTTTAAGCAATCATTTCAAGATATACATAAAAAGTTTATGGGAATAGTTTATGGGTCAAAATAGTTTAATAAAATGATTGGTACTTCTCAGTGAGAATTACTGACAGGAAGTGGAAGAGAAAACATTTTAGAGGGATTATTATAATGGGTGAATCATAAAAACAGCTGCCTCAATGTTAGATTTATGGGGATGTTAAGACTCTAATTCTGGTCAAAATCTGATATAGTCTTAAGAAAAAAACTTAAATGTGAAGTAGACATTCTAGACCTTGAAGAATTTCTATCACTTCAAATGAAGCGGCTTTTATGTTGATTTAAATAAGGGGGCACAGTAGGTTAAATAGCAGAATATACAGTCCAGCTAGCAATGGAAAACTTTAGAATACCTGTGCTTAATTTGTAATTCAAAAATTTAATTGGTTGAGATGGCTGGTGAGTATTTAAAGAACATCACTATACTTTCAGTTTTCATTTTTTCCCCTCTTTTCCTCCAATTTTTGTGACTCTTACAATTATAGTTCTATGAAGCCAAGACTGTCTGTGCAGTATTTACCTTTATCCCCGGAAGTCCAGGAAGCCCAGGAAGCCCTGGTTCACCCTACATAGGAAAATCACACAGCATTATAGAACAACATTCACTTAGTCACAGTCTCCAGAGAAAAGCGTGGCAAATGTTCCTAGCTGAATACTTGCCATCTATATATACACTGTCTCGTGTCAAGAAGTTTGGTGAGATTATACAGTTCAGTCAACTCTTGATTCAGGGATTGGTTGACCATTTTGCAGATTTTTCAGGATTTTCCCCTTTTCCTGCTAGTTCACTGTTCACTGGCATCTCTACCGAAAGGCAAAAAAGAGAAGTAAAAGGAGAAGGAACTCCCATGTTTTACTTCTTCCTGGTAAATGATTTGTTGGGGAGGCTGAAGCTCTTTGCTGAAATGAGAATCATGTGTGTATCTGAATAATGCCTCCTAGTTCAGTGCTCTCTTACCTCAGATAATCAAGAGTTGGCTGTATGAACACATGGATACATCAAAACAATATACATTAAAAGTCTTGCTCACTTAAAACTATAGTAAGATTTCTTTTCCATTCCTGAATGATGAAAAGATAAATGCATGGTTAATATTATACTTAACTCCAGCCCATATTTCTGACAATTGTTGAGTCTGGGTAACCCTGCACAGCAATTTAGGGCTCATGGTGCCATGCAGCTGTTCCTGAATACAGGTTTGAGATTAAATGGTACATTTTGGGTGAGCACACTGGAGTCACGATAAACCTTCTCATTTTCACAGAATGATCTACATTATTTTAAGTACAAAGAATAGTGACAAGAGGTTACATTGCTTAGAAAATCTCCTGAATTCCACTAAAGAAGAATAATGGAATTGCTGGAGAAAATGAAAGTCCATCCTGTGTTGGACTGAGGTGACTATTTGTGGAAATAACATTTGAAGGTAAAAGGGTCATATATTTTCATGATGGTCAGTCAGTGGGATGACAACTATACTAAAAGAGATAGAAGCATCAAACTAACCACAAAACTAGTAGAGGGAGGTACTTCTTTTAACCTAAATGCTCTGCACTTCTTTTAATCTAAATGCTTTGACAAACCTCATTCCAAAGAAAATCTACTAAAAACGACCAGACATTTCATTTTTAATATTATTACTTTCAAATTTTGAAGAGTCATAACTTGCTCTGGTATTATCGCAAAATGACCTCATATACTGTTTAAGCTGTATGGTTAGACATAGAAAGGACAATGACTTTCCTGACGGTTTAGGTCAAAGGTGCTTCAGGAATGCAAAAGAAAAGCTATTCTGTCTGAAACTATAAACAAAAGTTTGCACTGTGAACAATAACACCAAGATGAGATTAAGCCAGAGAAGAAAGGATAATTATTGAGGATTGGATATTCCATTCGAAGAATACTTGTCCCAATAGATTAAATTTTATGCAGACACAATATACATTTGATTTTCTTTTTTTCTTTCCTTTTCACCTTTCAATCAATAAATTTAGGAAGATTTAATAAAAATGGCTTGTATTCATATTTTACTGAAAATTCTGTTTTGCTTTAAAAAAAATGTAAGGCCCTGGCAAACACTAAAATGCAGTAGAGTATACAACCAACCAATACAAGTAAACATATTGGTGATAAATCTATAGTTTTATATTGCTTTAGAAAAGCCTCCTAAAACTCAAGACATCCTATTGGAAACATAATTTGAAATGTATAGGTTGTAACACTATTTCTCAGCAGTTCTCATCACACCCTCCCTCCTACCGAATGAAGAGGATCATAGGACTAATCGAAGACTTATATACACATGCATACATATACACACGCTCATGTTTTCTAATGATGAGAAAGATGTATAAGACGTTATGGAATATTTTATAATGTAGATTGATTTTTTACAGAAACCTTGAGCATTTAGCTATTCCCTATATCATACGTGTATGTATAGAGTTAACAAATGTACCTATTAATGAACAAATGTTTCAGGAATTAATATTTCATAGTCTTGCATTTTTATAAATTTGACCTTTCCAAATTTATGTTTACTTAAAAGCTGACATAATGAAAGACTGTAAAACATTCAATGTTATCCTTTGTGGAACAACTCAACAATTTTAGGAAGACATTTCTTCCTATATAAACTTTCTATCTTTATACCATGAAGGATTATCTTCCAATTAAGAGTTATTCAGTTAATTTTTCCATTCTTGCCTATTCTTTTGCTCAGGAGATTCTCTGAGTTGAGTTCGTGCGCATACATAGCCCAGGGGCAGATCTGGGTCATGATTAAGAATAGTTTTGTTATTCCATTTGAAGAATACTTGTCCAAGTAAACTTCACATGGATACAATATTCTTGTCTTTTCTTTCCCTTTCACTCTTTACTTATCTACTGTCAAAGTCTGAACTCTTCTTTCCTTCTGTCTCTGTACTTCTAGATGTAGTTCAACTGTGAGAGCACCTTCCAATGAAGGATCAAGTATTTTTACCCCTTTAAAATTAAGAAAATTATATATATATATGTTAAAAAGATGTGGAGAGTTAGAAAGGAAAGAATTATATGGTTAAACACAATACCTATTCCATAAATTTACTCACTCACTTTACAGAGATGTACATACACACTCTCATGTATCAATCACACACTCTATTGTTGTCTGTATTTAAAAAAACTATAATAAAATCATCCCATATTATGAACGTTACACTAAAGAACAAATTTTACTGCAAACTACCAGAGAGTGGAAAGCTAATCAATGGGCTTTTCATCTGTCATGACATCTTCTACTTTTCTGGGACTGCCCCTAACTCAGTAACTTAAGTGCCAGTGAACCCACAACACAGTTTTGCAATGGTGAGAAAAATGCCATAGATCTCTTGAACTGATTCTGTACTCACTTCTAATCTAAGTAAGGAGCAAGCATGGAAACACTCTATTTTTAAATCAGTGTTGGGTTAAGTGTTGCCAAATCCAGATATTAGACAAAGGAAGTCATAAATATTGTGAGAAAGTGAGATGGCGTCAAAGAGTAGAATCTAGCCTATTAATAAAAACGATGCTGCTCATTTCAGGGCATGTGTTCATTCAGATTGGTCGTAAGCTTCTTTTGGTATAATTTAAAACAGGTGTTTAATGAAATACAAAAGAAATTCGATGTTTCCATATGTAAACCTATAAACTTCCAGAGATGGCTCTAAGGTGTTTTTCTAAATATTCACAATAAGGAAATGTTTTATTAAGCAATTAAAATCAATTTGGATCTTCTACTCTGAAAACAGTGGAACCTATATGAGATTATAGCAAATGTGTTTTGTTTTGTTTGTTTTTAAAAAGACATAACAGTCATGCAGACCTTTCTTTTAGCACAGAATTGAAGAGCACTTTAAATTTGACTAAGGGACTTACAATTAGGTCATCAAGTCTCAGCTTTACCTGAAACTGGGTCTGATGAATCATTACTCTTAGATTCTTAGTTTTAAGGAAAAAATCTAATTTTAAATTAGAGAAATGTTAAAAGAATGTGAAAGATATTCTCAAAACTTTAGTCTTAAGTGTTTAAAACAAAGTAGTGACTCTCTCAATGACTTCAAGAATGTGGAAACATTATTTTATTATGTTTTAAGGTTCCAAACTACTATGAGGCAATCTATCCTCTCTTTCCTTTTATACTAATGAGGTAAATTCTGTTTCTTTTCATGTTTTTTTTCCTACAACATCGGCTACTGCTAGACAAAGGCAGAGTCATGATCTTCAGAGATTTCACCTAATATGGAGTTTACTTTTACTTGTTAGCTACAATACATCTGTTATCTCAAATCTGACTGCATTGGGCATTGATATCCAGATGCTCAGACGATAAACTGCTAACAGTTGTTTCCTGCCTCACACTCAAATTAGCATATGAATCTAAACATATTCACTGCATGTCCTCTAATTTATCACTAAAGTGAAGCACAGATGATAATATAAATTAATGTATGTATCTATAGATTGGTTAAAGTGAGTTGGCAAGTGTCTCTAAATTTTATTTTATGAACAAAGCTTTTTGTATAACATAACATTCACTGCACAGGTGGATACTAGTCACATAAAAATTATCAGTAGGGAAGTATTTGCAATGAAAGGAAAAGGAATTTAATTTTTAAAGAACTGTCCATTATTCTCTAGTGCGACAACTTAGTAAATATTCATTTCTTCTCATGAAAGAAAGAAACATGCAGAGTATCTTTAAACATGCAAGGTAAGTTGCTGGCTCTCCAACCCAACTGATCTTTAGTAGTCTCAAACAGCTCAGTATATGCAGACTTTAGTTCGTAAAGCATTTTTTTTACACGTACAGAGTGTGTTTTCACTTTTTTTTTAGAGCATCGACCCTTTTAAAACACAAAACCATGATGCTTGGCATGCAAAGCATAAAAACTACATCATTTTGCAATACGTGTCTTCATACTACACAGTGGATAGTAGATATAAAATGGTGAACAGGAGACAGTATAGAGAACACACTAGAATACAGATATTACCTTTTGCCCTGGACGGCCAGATTCTCCAGGTTCTCCCTGGCCAAAGAAAGCCAAAGATGAAAGGACAAGTCTTACAAGAAGTTTCCAAAACGCTTAGGCCTCCAGACTCTCTCACAGGGACAGCCAAGCCTCTTTGATCACAAGCATTTCATTTACTTTATTCTGTTACTCTGTGTCTCACTAGACACAGGAAATTTTTTTTCCTGTGACTAAACCTCACATACAGATCCACATTTCCATAAAAACCAATCAGAAAGGAAAGAGAAAGCAAGACCTCTTATATGCGCCTTTATCAGATTCCTGGTTGTGTGTGGAAGATGATTATTGCAGGAGAATAGAAACAGAGTTGTAACCATTAAAACTGGTAAAAGGGAAGAGAAAGCAGAGGCTTATAAAAATCAAAACTGTAACTCCTGGGGTACAAACACTTACAAGGCTATATAGTTACCTTGATTCCTGCAGCAGATGATCCAGGGTCACCCTAAAATGAAACCCATGAGAGATTATTCCATAAGTTATGGGAATGGGAAACACAAGCACACAGACAGCCATTATCGACAGGGGCACTCAAGGGAACCCCATGACTAATGGGCCCAACTAGGCTGCATAAGACTTTGTATCGATACCTCAGCTGTTAAGATGTCAACTCTTTCCAAGATAAATAATGTATTTTTTAAAAACATGGGTTTATTTTGAATGCAAAATACATAAGGACTACATTCCTTGAAATAAATGTAAATATATAAATATGGATCTTCCTCTTGACATAGTGCTAAAATTGTATTCTAAAACAATAAGTTTTAATTTTGGGATCTGGAATTTTGGTTTTCTCTATTTCTGGAATTTATTAATGTCCCTGGCTATCCTTTAGTGGGAGTTCTCTGACCCTTTCGCAGTCTTCAGAAAGTCAGGGTTCAGCATATGAAGTCAAGAGTTAATGATGTTGAGTTGGAAAAAGCCACGTAGCAGGTCAGCTTGTCTTCCTCATGAAGTACTGTCACAGTTATGACCGGTATGTTTTTTTTAGCTTTACACTTATTTCATTGTAATGCAGTCACCGGAAAGTTACAGGATGATGAATGACTCGTGGGTGACAGGGACACATGTAAGATCTGAGAGGAATTCTTGAGATAGAATCTGGTTTTCTAAAGGGCACTGTATTCCATCTGAATTTCATAGAGGGTGACTACATTTTGAGAGCAAATGTGTTACAAATAAGCAGATAGGGACTAGTGGAAAAGAATATGTAGGATAGTTGAGAATGCTGCTTATTTCTGAAATGAGGCCAGCAAAGGGCCTCCATTTTCAAGCTCCTTCTAGCCCTCTTTCCCATGAACATACTAGAAGGAAAATAAAGGGAGAAAACTTAGTCATTTGAGACTGCCAAGAAAATAGAAACAGCCACAAGGAGAAAGGCACATATTGGGATTTCCTCAGCTATCTTAACTGTACAAGTGCTCAAAGAGCTCCAGGGGTCTATTTCCTTGTTCTAGATTTAGGAAACTGCTCATCAATCTTTTTTAGAGAAAGAGATAAGGCCTCAGGCCTCTGTACTTGTTCCCCTCCCTGATTCCTCTCCCCTCTCCTCACGGCTGGCACTTTCTCTCTAAGTGGCTTAAGGTCCTGGCTTAAGTGGCTTTGCCTCAAATAACCCTTCACCAACCAACCTAGACACATGTCCCTCACACACACATCATACTTTGGAGCATAGCTCACTTTGTAATTATATATTTATGTTTTTTGTTTATTCATTGTCTGTCCCTCCATTAGACAATAAGATTCAGTGTCTATTTTTATTCAGTGTCTGGCCCCATAGTATACGTTCGATACATGTATGGTGAATAGACAAATCTCAAAAAAAAATGTTTTAAGCAGGTCAGAAGTCAAGAATCAAAATGAAAAAAAAAATTTTAGGAAGAAAAAAAAGCTTAGAAAGGAGAAGGAAATAATAAATTAGCTTATTGAGGAATCTGATATATATGTGATTCTTTGACATCTGTAATTACTATTAGCCAAGGAAAAATTAAAACATGATGAAACATAAAGAAGAGGACCCCAATCATCACTTTAGAATGATACTGTTTTTACCCCAATCATTAACATACAACTGAGTTCCACATGGGAAGTGAAATAAATGTGGCTAAATAATAATACTTATTTCCAATTCCACTAAATTGAGTCTGAAAGCCATCAACACCAATGAATCAGGTTTCCAATATTCTGCACAATAAGACCTTTGTATTCATAAAAGCAATTCTGACTTAGCTAAGTCTCTTCTTTCATCTCATTTATACCTCAAAAAATTCCCGAGAGATAGGGTAGATATTACTGTTTCCATTTAATAGATGAGGAAATTGAAGCAACTAAGAGGCTAAGTGAATTTTGGACTTCTAAATTCTATTGCCACGTTCTTTTTATTGTAATCAGAAAATAATGATTGGTTTATTTTATTTTGACAAGAAGACATAAAGGTCGTATGTAGTAAACTTGTAAATAAAAGGAAGTTGCTTGTATTAACCGTAGTTTAAAAACTTTTTTCCCAGTGTTTTAATGGAAAGTGGCTAGATAATGCACTAATGAGAAAAAGACTAGATTTAGTTCTCACGGCAAGTGGACAGAACAAAAAAAGACAGTCTTCTGAAAGGCTGATTTATTTGTAGAAATTGGAGTAATTTCATTTGATGGACAACTATGAGTGACATTTTAATTCTCTTTTAAAAAAATTAGAACTGTGAAATCTCAAAGAACTTTTATAACTTTTAAGTGGCAAGGCAACTGCTAGAGAACATTCATAAGTTAAACATTTTAAGGGATAATGCTGCAAGTAGTGGAAATAAAACAGTGTTTATAATCCTCATTCCTCTAACAGTGAAAAGGAATACAGGATTAAAGTGAGAAACAAACCACCGTGTTGTAAGTACACTCTTAGCTTCATAAATCAGTTGGTTTGGAAATAAAAGGTTTCAAAGGGTAAGTCATAAATGGGGAAAACACTTTGAGAAGATACTTGAGGTAAATGAATTCGACTTTACTGCTTATCATTCAAGCATAGAGAGTTCTGTTTTTGGTTGTTCTTTTTAAACACAAAACTCGGTATATAATTATATGTATGTGTTAATAAAGTCTATGTGGCATATAAAATGAATGCGGTCACATTTCTATCATTCATTAATTTGTTCACTAAATATTTACTGAGCACCGATTCTGTGCCAGCCATGTTCTGGATACAGGGATGCTAGGAGCTGGGAGACAACACAGCTGTAATCTCCACCTTTGTCCTGTGCATATGATAATCATTTACTTGTACGCATATCCAAAAATATTACTGATTGAAAGCATGGAAGACACTTTTTTCCTTTTTCTTTACATTTAAAAAATATGGGAGAAGAAGAGCTTCTCATGTTTGAGAAATTCTGTATCACTATATATACACAAAAAACATGATAAGCAAATGCACAATACAGGAAAAAATTCTACCATTCAGTAAAAATAAAAAAACAGTTGAAAGTTAAAAAAAATTAAGATTTTTCATTCAATAACTATTTATTATCTTCCAAGTTTATGCTAGGAACTTAGATTGGTGCTAGAAATAGAACGGTTGGTAGCATATAGTTTTTTTGTTTATTTGTTATTTTCTTTTCCAGTGAGCTGATGCCCAGTTAAACAAAGAATTACAATAAATTGTGATATGGGTTATGAAAGAGATAGTACAGAGGGCTATGGAAGCATATCATAGGTAACCTACCCGATTCAGAGGCTGCCCCAAGGAAATGATATAAATTCAGGTTTCAATGGACTGAAGAATAGAATTAAAAGGCGGAGGTGGAGGTGGACAGAGAACAAGAGTGCTCTACGCTAAGGGAATCACGTGTGCTAAGTTAGAGAGGGCCCTGCATTGATTGGGGTGGGAGTGCCCACTGAGATAGCCCTTCACCATGTGATTTTAAAAAAAGAAAACAGTTTGATTGGTGGTTCTAAATATAAATGTGCCTTCTGTAAAGGCTCAGAGGATGCAATTCAAAGATGCTATATAAGCATACACTAATACGGCAGTATATTTATAAGAATGGAGATGAGGGAGCAGAGGAAATGAAGGTAATATCAAGATAGGTAATACCAAGAAAGTCAAGGTGGAGCTTCTGAATCAACAGATAAAATTGTGACTACAACAGTGGCATGATCAAACCATTCAGTGTACTCCACAAACAACTACTTTCAAGTGGGAGGTGAAATAGATAAGAAATCCATTTCTACATTTGTTGGTGGAATCAGCACTTGGAAGAGCAGAACATAACCCTTCCACAGTAACTCTACACATGATTGAAATCAGTCTCTGGCAGGCCATTCTTAAACCTAGAGTGCATGGTACTTGCTGGCCACGGAGAAATCCAGCCTAGTGGTTTTTACAGTTCCATAGTGTTTCCAGATGACCAGTCTGGAAAGGCTTAGATTGCTTTACCATCCAAAGGCACTGACTTGGATCAAAAGGAAAAAAAATCTTATTAAAGTGAATCAGTCAATGACGTAATTTACTACATCAATGGCAGAAAAGAAACATTTTTGATTTTACATCTCGAACTTGGTAAACGATGAATGAGTTTCACATACTGAAAACCAAAGGCCATGAGAAGAGTGTTTCAAACATACTGGAAATAAATTATGTGACAGAAGCAGGAAATGTTTAAAAAAACACATCAAAAATTATATTCCAATTACAGCATTCTCGGCGGTGAATGCTACAGGTCAGATTACATATTATATGTTACAGATTCCTATTTACAATTCCCTGTTTAGACCCATTGAAAGTTTATAGATATGATTTCCGGTTTAACTGAAGCATTTCTTGTACTTAATTTCAGTTGACTAATAAAATCTTTTGATAAAAAAGAAAAACAACCAATCTAGTTGATTTCAATTTCCATGTGGTAAGAAAGCTAACGTTTATTGAGAGTTTACTATGTGTGACTCGGCATGGTAAATGATTTGCATTAATATAAAAAATAAGAACAGTATTCCTTAGAGAAGAACTTGGTCTTTTCAAAGGAAAAAAGTTGCTTTACTATTGGAAAATTAAATTTTAAAAATGTGTGATTAAAGAAACAATTATTGGCCTACATTCCAAAAATGAAGCTTTAAAAATACATCTACTAAAGCATAAAATTAACTACATAAGTTCGCATGGGCATAGTTCAGACCTGGCATAAAATTTTTTAAGTTGAAGAAACTGCTCTCAGTTTAGAAGACTTTCCTTCTTTAAGCAGAGGTTGGCAACTATGGTCTATGGGTCAGATCAGCTACCCACTTGTATCTGTGTGGACCGTGAACTAAGAATGGTTTTTACACTTTCAATGGTTAAAAAAATATATATCAAAAGAACAACATTTTCACAACACATGAAAATTATACAAAATTAAAATCTCAGTGCCCCAAAATACAGTTTTATAGGATACAGCCACCCTCATTTGTGTACGTATTGTCTATGGGTGCTGTCACACTATGACAGAGTTGAATTGCTGTGACAGAGACCATATGGCCCATAAAACCTAAACTATTTATTTTTTGGCCATTTATAAGGAAATTTTGTTAATTTCTGCTTCTAAGAAAAACAAGAAAGTTAAATATAACATCCAGATTTATATGTCTGGGGTTTGAAATTTTGACTTTGAGAGAAATGGATGTATATCATCGGTCTCATTAATATTAAACATATTCATGACATATCTGATTTCAGCATAATACTTAAATTTTATGGGTAAACAGAATGGATCTATAGCAGTGGTTCTCAACTAGGAGTAATTTTGTCCCTCAGGGGACATTTGGCAATGTCTTGAGATAGGTTTGATTGTCACAACTCAAGGGTGCTACTAGCACGTAGTGGGTAAAGACCAGGAGTAATGCTAAACATCTGACAGTGCCCACGACAATTCTCTGGTCCTACATGTCAATAGTGCTGAGGTTGGGAAACCCTAGTGTACAAGAAACTGAGAGTTCACTCTAACTTTCAGGCTGCTCTTCAAATACAAACACAGTTGCTACCTGATGAAATTAATTCGTTTCTACTACCATGCCATATTTATATTTATAAGAACGAGAAAAATAATTTTCTCTTTATTTAATGAGTGTGTTTTTAGGACTAACCATTATCAATCTGTACTATAATAATTTTCAAAATGGAATAGTGGAATAATCACCTTTTATAAATTAAATATTTAAATGTTTTCTAAACTTGTAGAATTATCTCTGACCTTGTCATAGCAAGCTACTATATCATTCATTTACCTCTCTCAAAATCTCCCATTATCGTATATACAGAATAAACTTTCTTGCTCATATATATATATATACTATTCTATATTTCACAACATTGTACCTTTTCGCCTGTGTCACCTTTGGGGCCACTCTCTCCAGCATCTCCCTAAGAAGGGGGAAAAAAGCAATACATGTAAAATATATTGGCGATGTTACACAAAGAGTATTTTCTATTATTTTAAGTTTTCTTTCATAAGCACTATACATTAAAATCTGTTGTAAGTGGTCTACACAGCTAGTGTACTTTTACCCGAGCAGCTGCCTGTTATCACCAGTCCAAATACCTATTACAATGAACGAGGTTGAACAGTTTCAAACTATTCCATGATATTAACAGAAAGCGACAATTTCTCTGATTTCTAACAGCTATCCTGGCACTTAGAGCCTCCTTAACTCTATCTTTCTCCTCTGCTCAAAGCTCCACTGTAACAAAGACTTTCTCCAGACCATTCCCTCGGTATGCCATGTGCCTCACCGCCTCTGTGTCCTTCCTCATGCCACTCCTGACACCTGGAGCCCTTCTATCCATATAAATCCTGCTCTTGTCTTAAGCCCATCTCAAATCTCCAGAGCTTCAAAGTACATGACCCATCCCTCAAAACCTGTGCCCTGAATATTTGACTTATCTGTGCCTACATGTTTTCGATTTGTGAAATGAATGTTTTATATTTTAATAGAAAACTGCTTTTTTTTTTTTTAATCGTAGTAAAATAAATTAGGGAGTTTATGCTTCTTTGGTTATTTCTGGAATTTCCTATGTCTAGTCCCTCACTGACATCTCCTTTTTACTGACAAAGCAATGCATCGGAAAAAAAGTCATTTGTTTACTACCTATGCCTTGCTTCTTTAAATTCTAAGTTCTTCAGTTTAAGTCTTATAGCACATTTGGTGAAAACATCATAGATTTGGAGCCAGAGAGACTGAGCCCAACTCCAGCACCTACTAGGCAAACGAAATTTTCTTTCCATCAAATTTATCATATGTAAAACAAGGGCAAGAATATTTTATGGGGTCATAAGAAATAAACAATATATTGTGTGTAAGGCAACTAGGACAGTATCTGACACATAAACTGTTAATGACAGCAGGTAGAAAAAACAATGCATTATTGTTCTTACATTCTATAAGCTGGGATGCCCTACTGTCTAGCTTCACAAGAGGTCACTTTTATATCATTTAAAAATTTCTTTAAAATAAGAAACTATTGATACTAGTTTCCTTGGGAGATGGAGGAGTGGCAAGGGAGGGAGATATTCATTTCTCTCTATTTTCTTTTCTGTTTCCGTAGGTATCAAGCTAACTCGCTAGGGCATTTGTCTCTGGTGGTGGACACCCCACAGCAGCCCCGGGAGTCTGCGAGGCTTTATCAATGAACCCTGGAATGGTACTGGCACTGTTCCTTCTCCTTCCTTAATTTCTACACAAAAGAGTCATCTGACAACTAATTTATTAATTTCAAGTTAATTACCACGAACCGGTTGGATGCCAAGTAAATGTATTGGTATCTGTTATAAAAAGGAACTTTGATAGCAGCCTAGTAGCATACTTTAAAAAAATTGCTTGAAAATCCTTTTATTAAAAAACAAAACAAGAAACAAACTTTCTTATTAGGAAGACTCTCTCAGAGTGGTCATAAAACGAAGGGTCTGACTGACTTGTCCCCACTAGTTTGCTCTCCTTCCATTTAAATAAATGTCTTTTTTTCTGTTTGTTTTACAATGCCAAAAATTATAGTTATATTCAAGAAGTTCACTGGATCTTTATATACACTTCTTTGGAGATCAGAGGGGATAATATTGATTTATCAGAAAGATTTGATCACTTACAAAAAGCATTATGTAGTATCTTGGTAGTTTCCTATGCAGACAGCACATTTCTCAAACACTATTAAAGTAAATAGTATGAGAACCAGGAAAATTAGCATTACAGTATATACTGAGAGTCTAAAAATAATCAGAACATACCCAAAGGTAGTAAGGAAGGACAGGTAAGAAAAACTTAACATATGGCACTCTCTTCATTTGTTTCTCTTTTTGGTTCTTATGGGAATTCTTTGTGGGGCGACAATATTTTTGCTGCGGGTAAACATCTGTAATCTTTTAACTTAGTGACCTAAGTAGCAGTAGAGAGATGTGGATGCTTAGAAAAGTACTAGAGTGGCATCAGCCAATAGGGAGAACAGAAATTTTGCAGGCCCAGGGATTTTTCAAAGCCATTTAAAAGCTAGACATAGAATGTTTAAGTTTGCATCTTTTCCCTCCATTCCTTTAAACCTTTATACACAAACTTCTGTCCATACATAAGAACTATGTAATTTTCTCCTTCCACTACTTAAGTTTGGAAAAAATCAGTAGTTATTACATTTATACCTATATCTATCTATCTGTCCACTTATAGACAGTTCAGTTTGGTACCTCTTAGGTGGGGAGGAAGGGGGAAGATAAATGCAGGCAGAATCATTCTCACCTTTTCTCCTTGTTCTCCAGGTTCTCCCTGGGCAAAAAAAAAATCCAAAAAACAAAGATTGAACGACAAATTATTTAACACCTAATTAAGCAACACCAAACAAAATCAGATATTGAACATGGTAGGTAAATTGCATGACCCCTTTCTTTTTTGGCAATTTGTAGTTGCTGTATGAAAACAAACAGTAAGATGCATTTCCTAGAGAACTGGGTATAGATATCAATATCAAATGTAATCTTAATTCTCTGCTTTTAGAGGACTAAAGAAAAGTATTTAAGATTATCAACCTTAAATCATTTTGGAGCCTTAAGGAGAACAATGTGGTGGCAATTTAACATCCTGGGTAGCTTCTTAGTCTAGGACATTTTATTCTTTCCAAACTCAGAAGCAGTAAGGTGGGCTAGCACATCCTTGAAGTCGTCCTCAAAACAGCCTCTGGTGCATGGCTTATTTCAGGGTTCTGGAGTCCCAGTGTAGTTCCCCAATCTGTCTTCTCCTAACATGACCATAAACACAGTCCTGAACTTGGACCCTACACAATGTCATGAACACTTTAACCTGCTGGTAAACAGCATGTCCCAAATCAGGTGTATTTTAGGAGACGTTGGTACGTTCAGGAAAGGCACTAGAATCGGGCAGAATCAAAGTGAGATTAGGAGAATGTCATTGCTCAAAATCATGACTAGGAAATGAAAAATTGTCCTCTAAAGAGAATCTCGTTTTCACTTCACCCAAGGAAAGGAGCAAGGATGGAGTGAGAGAGTTCTAAAGTAAATTATACACATTATGATAATTTTTCCTTTATGAAAAGCATGAGTGTTTCCATGAGATCAACTACTTTTTAAAAAATGGCTTAAGGTAATTATTGTGTTTTTTAACATTAAAACCCACTCTAGAAGTCAGTTTGGAGGCAAGCCTTTTCATTCACTGGAAGTCAGCCTGACCCTTTGGCTTTCTGAATTTCTGGCCACCTTTCAGTGCTCAACATCCATCCTGATGGTTGCTAGGCAACAGAAGAATAGCACTGAGAACATGCATTAAGTATTAACTCCTATCATTTGGCATTTTAGTGTGAAACAAGAGAGGGGGAAAAAACAGGACAAAGCCCGTAGTACCAGAAGGAATATTTCTTTCCTCTCCAGCAAGACTCAGGACAGGTCTATAAATTTTAAGTCTGTCCTAGGCGCCTGTCAATAGCAATGTGATCTGGAAAATCAGCTGACAGGCATCTGTGGGTATGGATAAATACCAGCACAGCTGACAGGATTAGACATTAGTTTTGTACTTCAAGGGATGTTCACTCATCAAAGGATTTGGAATTTGTCTGCCTGTTTGGTTTAAACTAAACTGTCACCAATCTTTTTATATTTAACAGATTCATTTGTTCATCAAGAAATAAAGAAAACTTGTAATACCTCCCAAAAAATCATTACATTTTTTTCCCCTATTTAGTAACTAACTACATTGATTTTTAAATTTTAAACATGCCACATCTTTATTCTGTTCTTCATCTGAATAACTGGTTATGTTGTATAAGTGCCAAAGGTGGCCAAATCTTGAGGAAAAGGCATAGTGGCACTGTGAACATCATCTTTAGTAAGTGTTGTAAAAATTATGCAAATTTTAGGCAGTATGTACATGGTGTACATTTTAATATGTTCATATTAAATGGCAAATGATAATATTGTTTTTGAAACGTGAATTTTCACGTTATTTAAGTATCTCAGAATATAGGTTTTTAACAATCGTATCCTATATTTTTTTGCATTTGTAATATTAACAAGAATCACAAACATAATTTATTCATCAGCCACAAAGTTCTGTGCTATAGCATATTATAATATTGATAAAAAATTCCATCCAAGTGAAACCAGTGGGATATTTTAAAAAATTGTAATAGCTTACGATTTCATGAAAAGTAATGTCTCAAATGATTCTGTTTGGTTTTATTTGTACTTACCTTCGGCCCTGGTATTCCATTTTGTCCTACTGCTCCAGGCAACCCAGGTTCACCCTCAAAATAAAAAATAGATACTACTAAATAAAACAGACAAAATCAGTACATTATGTAGATCATTAGAAGATACGGCCATCCAATAATGCTCTAGAAGTAGACAGAAAATAAGTGTCTACTAGTGTAAATACAAGTTAGCTTATTTGGTTCAAAATTCTATGTACTGGGAACCGAGGATAAAACAGGGCTGATTTCCTTTGTTCAGTCTTTTCTTCATTAAGAAAGTTGCAGCAGCTGACCAAGATGAAATGAATATCTAGGATGGTACTGAGGACATCGTAGGCATCAAGTAAATATCTGTCAAATGAGTAAAAGTCATCTGAAAAAATAAGGCTCTCCTGATGAAGAACTTTCAAGTGATTCATCAGCTCAGGAAAAAATAGACTAAATCATTATATTTATTAGACTTAATCAAATGAGCATTTCCAAATCTAAATCTTGAAGAACACACACATCTTTGAACACCTACTTAATTCATTTAGACACATTTGCCATGAAAATAAAAAGTAAAACTGGCTATGTTTTCTCTTTCCAGTTTCACTGTAAAAATAACTAGAGTAAAACACTCAGACTTGAGTGATAGGCATTTGGGAAAAAGGTGATGGTTAGTAGGTTAGAAAGTGTCCCATTTCAGAAAGATGATGATGTATACCAGTCTAGACTCTGAATCAGCCACTGTTTTCCAAAGAGAAGTACCTTGAAAGGCCCTGAGACAAAGGAAAAATACTCTAACTCTCAGTGCTTCCATGTAGCTTGAACTTATATCAATTAGAATTTCATTTTCATTTCAAAACATTCCCCAAAACTTTTACTGTGTGCTCCAACTAATGGACAACTTTTTTCTTCCACTGAGGGTAGTTAAGTTGTGCTTTTTTGTTTTTTTAAACATTTTATTACTAAATTAATTTCAGATTCACAGCAAACTTAGCTGATTTTTAAGTATGTTTTCTAAGTCACCTAAAGGGCAGGGATTATGCCATTTTTATATTTATATTCTCAGCATATTATTAAATATTAATGTACATATATAAAAACCTGTATATTAATATTAATAGGAACATTTTTAAGTGCCAGGAACTTTACATTTATTAACACACTTAATTCTCACAAATTTCTATGAGGTGAGTACTATCTTTATCTCTACTTAACAGATGAAAAAATTAAGGCACAGAAAGGTTAAGTAATTTTTTAGATTTATGTAACTCTAGCCAAGATTTGAACTCTCATGATTGGGTTTAAGAGGTTGTGATCTTAACAATGTAATGCACTGCTGAATGAATGAATGAATACATCCAGAAATTGGGAGAGAGTATCTGATGAGTATTTCTATCCTCATTATCATTTGGTTTATAGTCCTCATTTATAAATGACCTTTTAGAATATATAGAAACCTGGATTGAACATTACATATAAAGATGATTTATTTACCTCTATCTACCAGATAAACTAATGAATGTAAAGCTTACAGCGTATTTCTGGAAAAGCAAAAAATGTTTTACTATTATACTGGATTATTATAATTGTGAAAGTCTTAACTTCCTGGAAGAAATTCTGCTTCATATATAAAGTTACACTATAATTGTAACCCTTGTACTTTCATTGGCAAAATGGCAAAAATGTAGCCTTGGAATAACGATAACCATTATAGGAAAATTTTGATAGGTCTTTTGTACATCACAAAGGGTAAGAACTTGGAAATAGAATACACTCCAAAAGAGGACTATCATTTTACTGTGCAACCAGAAAAAGAGCTATCAAGATTGCTTTCTTCAAAGACTCTCCAACAGGATGCACTAATGTCATAACTCATGGTTTAATGGAAATAAGAGATGCTGCCAAGAAACAATACAAACTTTGTTTAGACTTTCAAAGAATAACCATGGTAGCCAGAATAATATTAATAAAAAAAAATGGTTAAGTCCCTGGAACTGGACAAAATACATGCTGAGATTTTGAAGTAAGGAAGAGAAACGACGCTTAGGTATCTGCATAACGTCTTCCTTGATATATGAACACTGAAGGACTAAAACTTGATCTCTTTTTCCTTTGATTTTATATATTGCTTAAATAATCTTTGATTTTATATATTGTTTAAATAATCTTTTAAAGGAAACAAAAAATTGCGCCCATAATTCCGTCACCTTATATTAATTTTTTTTCATTTTGTCCTGTTTCTTTCTACCTTTTTATTTATATTTACATATTTTCAAGCAATTGTAAGCTAATTACACACTCTGACATCCAGTTTATTATTTTATACAACACATTTGTTTTCACACAGTATTCATGATTGTCTTATGAGTAGTTTATCATCTGTCAAGGTCAAATTTGATTATTTGTTTAATCTGTTCTAAATTGTTGAATACATAGGTTGTTTCCATTTTTTGCTATTAAGGATAAACTAAAACAAACACCTCTATAAATATTTCTTAATTGCTTTCCAAAAGAGTTTTGAGTTTTATCTGATACATAGGCATGTACTCTGTGTTACTTTTTCACAATTTCATCAGTACTAGATATCACAATCTTAACTATTTTTGTGTCTATTTAAAAAAGCACAAATGAGAGTTATTCAGTTTTACATTTATCACTTGTAAGGGTAAATATTTTTCATGTGCTTATAATTTAAATAGATATCTCACAAAATTTTAAAGCAAAAAGTGAATAAGCTGTTTCTTGAATGAATCAAAGGAGGATAGAAAGAAGGGAAAGTGATTTATAGCATTTTACCTTTCTAATAAATTATGTGAAGAAAATGATATTCAAACTTAGATTGGGAGGTTATGGAACATTCTGTTATTATCCAAACTTAGTTTTCCAGGTTGTGAGAAAGAAAAGTTAAAAAAAAAATGCTATACAACTCTGGGTACCAAGGCCAAGCTATAGAATACTAGAAGACATTAATCCATTCAACAAAACTGAATTGAGTAAAAATTTACTATATGTTCTACTCTGGACTGAGTATTTCATTATGAAGATAATAGACATGACAGATGCCTGTGGCAAAAGAGCTTATTTTTGAGTGAGAAAAAAGATATATAGAAAAATAACTTGAGGACATCTAATTGAAGTCATAGAACTTTTTCTTTGAGCAAAGTTTTCTTGTACTTCACAAAGTAAAAGGTATAATAAATAGAAATCGAAGGCAAGTCTTAATGAAGAATTAATCACATGTCATATAGTATATTCATCTTTTCTGGTATATAAGGACAAAATATAATTATGAGGCCTCTTCAAATAAAGTTACAATGATATTGCATTACATAATGTAGTAAAAATGTACGTATAAAGAAAATATCTGAAAAGTATAGACAAATAAAAGGGGAATTAGATTTGGTGTGTGGAGAGCTAGTCTTTTTTGTTGGGTAATCCATCCATCTATATCTGAATGCAGTTCACATTCACTACTCTGAGGAACATTTCAAAGACGGTAATAAAGAAAAACAGTAGCTAACATCTTAACTACAGATAGATTGATGGGATCTTTCCACTATACCTTAAATTCTAAGGCTATTCCCAGTGTATTACTCCCAACTGATGATTTGCATATCCAAGCTAAAAATAAGTTGAACTGACTTTTAAGAAGAATGGCTCGCAGCTTTCTTCTCTATCTTCCTTCCTTTCTTTTTTCTTTTAAAAACCAAACACTGTTTAAAACATTGCTAGAGGCTTTTACAATTATTTTAGGTATTCAGGGGCAATTTGAAAGAATACTTCAAGATAGAAAGGAAAGCAGTTTTCTTATAAAATTGAGTGCTAAAGAAGAATAGGTCATTTAGTAGTAATATTGCTCACCATCACTTAATCACAATTGTTTTCCATTCTGACAATGGGAATTTAAAATCAGTCGTAGCTGAAAATTTTTAGCATATTATAATTCTACATTCACTTGTCAAAATCAGATTTGTTTTCTTTCTGTACTACATTTTCTTAAAGAGCTCGTCCAAACAGAAGAGGAAAATAACTACAAGGAACATGGACCAGCAGCGGATGAAGTATGGTGTTGAGCATAACATGACATTAGTCTTAAGGTTGCTCTCCTACCTCTGGAGTTGGTGGTGTTGGCTCATATATGCAACTTAAAAACGGGCAATATTGGTCACTGAGATCTCTCTAAAACACTGGTGTACAGGGCCTTTCTTCCTGACAGTGACAGCACGCTGAAGGATCTCAATGGCTTGAGTGGCGAACAGGCCTGGCCTTTAGTCATTCTTCTTTTGCAGGCAGTCATGGTGGAGAGCAGCTGTCCCTTTATGAGCCTTCAGGGCCTCACAGGCTTTGGCAGCAATTGGATAAACAACACTTGGTAGAGGAGGATTCTTTGAAAGCAGTGAGGCACTCAACAGGGACTTCAGATATAACTGT